CTCAGACAGTATTTGCATGGTTGGTTCGAATTATTTCGTAATTCTTAAATTTTTGAATGATTTTCGGAAATACCAATTGCTATTTCAGTCAGAAAATATATCAGCAAAAATGAGAGAATGTCAATAAAACAGTAAATAAATGTGAGAAATGGTAGTAACGGATCATAAGAAAATAAAGGAGTGAGAGAGAATATCAAAATGGACAAATATTTATTGCTACTTGATATTATTAAATCAGTTAAATACCGAAATAAGATTCCTGGTCTAACTTTAGAAAAATTTGTCTAGAAGAAATTGTAACATTTAGAAATGGAAGCGATCGTCATGAAAACGTCATGTGACGAATTCCTGCACATTCCATTTCTTTCCCATCTTTCTCATTCTAAGTGATAGAAAAAAAAAGGAAGCAGTGTGGATGATGGCCCGTTTGTTCATATTTATTTACTTGGCAATCTCATCCCGACGTCATTAACTACGATGGTTGCTGACCATCTGTTTCTCTCTTCTTAATCCTTCTGGAACTGATCGTTCGGTAAAGTAAGGTATGATATAAGTAAGGTAAAACATAAATATATACAAAATAGTAAATAAAAATAGATGAGATGAGAAGTGAAGAACTATGCAAATGAACAAGGTAGCATTGTTAGTGATAATAAATAAAAGGTGACGATAAGAAGGGACAGCAGAGTGACGGAGACGGGTCAACGGCTTTAGAGAAGAAAAGGATCTTAGTGGATTTGTGGAAGTCTCTTCGAAAGGCAATCAACAGAAAAGAAACAAAATACAGTGAACATTATCATTGATTATTATCACTGCTAGAAATTTTAATCCTCCATTGGTTCATATTACCTCTGTCCATGGAAGGGACCACAAAGAATTACTCATCTACCTGTCCATCGCATCATCATTGTCATTACTGTTATTACTCTGATTTAATGACGAGACAAACAGGTAAGACAGAGCACATCGTCACTTTGTGTGCGAAGCAGACATTGGAAGATTGTCGGAAGAAATCGTTACGGTGCGTACAATAATGGTAATGTAGTAAGGTGGTGGTGGTACACATACATACAACACATGTACGCACATACATACATGTGCGTACACATACACACACACACATACATATATATATATATATACACTAATAGAACGTGGACGATGTAGACATGTCATTGGTTGTGATTGGTAGGGAAGTGACGCATCGTTTTTCACTTTTCGCTTTTGTTTCAAGGAATAATGACTGTTTGTCTTTGATCTACTTGCTTCGTTTCACTTTGAAGGAAAGATAAGATGGTAGTTGGGTGGGAAAGGCGCCATTTTTGATCGGGAAGGGGCGCTATTTGATTAATTCCATTTGTTATAAATAGGTAGACCAATACACAGAAGTGGTAATGGCCGGGAAACCAATCAAAGTAAGGCCCTAGGTATTTTGGTATAAGAATGTAAATTTTTTGAAAAATATTTCATTTGCTTCTTCAGTTTAACAGTGCAATATCTAATCAGTATGATAATTATATCACAGATATTATAGAAGAGCTGTCTTTGGCTGATAATAAGTTGATTTGGTGATCAATTATACATCATCTTAATATCATTATATATATTCAAAATATAACTGATGCATCTTGATAATCAGGTAGAAACTAAATTTTGTGAATTTAAAGTGACTTAGATTTAATATCCAATATTTACTCCATGTAGAGAATTACTTCTGTCAACGTGCCACCTCTTCAGTATAAATAAATAAAACACTAAAAAGAATTAGAGTTCAACAATTCCCACGAGAAAATAATAAGTACGAAATAAGAAAAATCACATTTCTCTCTTATTTCTTTTTTTCCCCGGTCATTAATCTTACATAAATTATCTAAATTTTCGATAAAGCAACCTCCTTATCTTAACCGCCTTTTTTTTACTAATTGTATCGCATCTCATGCAACTTACTTATTCAGAGAGAGAGGGAGAAAGAGAGAAGGTAAACAGTTTTGATGATTTAGTAAAATGAAACAGTGGGAGAGGAGTTCTTAAACTCTGAAGTGGTATTTTGGCAATATTCTTAGTCTATAATATCAGAGAATTCCCACTGATAAGAGAAATATCAATTGATATAAGTTAACTCTTCACACGTTCCTTAATCATCCTGTCATGTAACGTAGCAGCTTTGTTCTGACGTAATGCGATAGAATATCGAAAATACACTTAAAAGTAAAACGTTCCATAATTCATTCACCTTCATCTGTAGTTCAACCCACCTGCTGGAGAGTTTGAAATATTAATTTCATGAATTTCAGAATGGATTATTGACCAGTTTTTGATGACCAATGAGCCTAAACTTTAGAGGCGTATTTGATGGTCTTTATGTCCTTAACTCTTCATATATCATATATACACACACACATACACATGCAAATAAAGGATGAAAAGGTATATGCAGATGACATATGTGATTGGAAGCCCTTTTCATTGTTAGCACATTCCGTATTTGCGGATCTCGGCGATTCACATTGACAAGAGCTGAAGGAAAAGTAATGTTGATAAGACTGAGAATTTGTTTGGAAACAGGAAATAAAAAGTATTCGTACGTTTGGAGTGGAATTAATAGTGCTATTTGATGGTGTCCGAGTGGACATCAAATAGTGAATACATTGGTAAATTACACTGAAAGACATTTACAGCTTTTCTATCTAATTAAGTCTCGTGGAGTTTTAAATTGTTTTTTTAAGGTGAAAAATAAGTCATTTATGCAAATACCGTTTAAAGCTTTATCGAAGTGACGTACAGCTGTATCGCGGATTTCTTAATAAAAAATTGCGTCACGGATTTTTCGATAACAAATTCGTAACAAATTAGTATTAAACAAACTTTTAATATTAGCAAATTTTTAATGTTACTAAAATTTGATCACTCTAAAACTGGACTTTATTTTTAATTAATTCAATATAAAAAGCTTCTAATTATTACTCATTCATCATTCCCACTAATTCGATGCAAATACTAAATTCCATTCTGAATTCAATCTCTGCAATTGTTCACTGACCATTCCGGAATTTATTTTAATTGAGTTGGAAATCACAAGAAGTGAAATCGTCGAGATATCGAGTAATTATTGTAAAATCATTTGGATCAATTGAACATACAAACATTATCGATAACCATATGACAAAAAAGTAAAAATTGCACAGATATGCGAATCGAAAACAACACAAATGATATCGAAAGATTTTAGTAGATTTTTTTACATCACAATAACATTGGAGCAAATGATTTTATTTGATAGCTTATCATAGAATGAAAGATTATCATTTCATTTACTAATACAAGAAATATATATATATATATATTACTTATCTGGCTCCCAATCTCTCTCTCTCTCTCTCTCTCTCTCTCTCTCTCTGTATAAATATATATACATACAGAGAGAGAGAGAGAGAGAGGTCGAATTCAAGTGATGCTTAATTTGTTTATTTCATTCCCGTAATACAAGCATAGGAGAATTTTTGTGCTCCACGTATAACATTTCAAATATACAATGTATGTATCATGTCTATTTGGGATGAATTTTGATTTCATTTCTCTCCATTAACTGATTTAAATAGATAAAAGAATAGTGCAAGATGATAAAGTCTACCACTAGTAAATGTTGTTTGTAAACAAAGATCGCTATGTTCAGTCCTAATCGAACATAGCTATTGAATGAATCAAACTGAAGAGCAAACTCAATCAATTTAATTCATGTTTCCTTATGTTCTGATAAACATTTTGGGGATATTAAAAGAAAGTTTTTTTTTTTTTTTTTGTAAAATATTTCAGAAATTTAAATAAGCCATAAAAAGTAAATTGTATGAAAAATCTCGTGATCTGAGTGAATTAGAATATGTTAAATATTAATCCTAAAACTGCGAAATTAATGATTTTCAAATACTCGTTCCCATATTTTTCAGTACGCTCGACGAAGTTTTTTGATCTCAATAATTCCATCATCTTGTTGCCACCATTAAGTTTTATTTAAATTATGCAATTTATCTTCAAACAATAAAGTGAAATCATTGAGAGAAATGTTTACAAAGAAACTCAGGAAATATTAAGTCACAGAAGCTGAATTTCGGAACCATAAGTGAAACGCTATGTGCTACAGAATTTTTTTTTTATAGTATACTTCATAGAATCCACATACAACTTTCCTTCGAAGCATTTATTATTGCGTATAGATATACCTAGAGTTCAAAGTTCTAAAAAAAAAAAAAAAAAAAAGAAAAAAATTCTTTTGATGCAAGATGTACAAAATTAGTGTAGAAGAAAATTTTACAATAGACTATTTTTGCCTTTTGTTGTTTTTGTATTGTGTCAACCCATATGGAAAATAGGCTTAAACGAGCAACTTTTAAAGTCAGTATTCAGTTTGACCTAACATTAAATAGCCTTTCGTCATCTTCATGGAATTCATGGAGCTCTGGCTTTGATTCGAAATTGATGCCAACTTCATTATGATTTTGGTTTTTATCGGAGAACATTTTTATAAACAAAAATTAGGGACAAATCAACTCTGTTTACGAATTTTCGTCTGAAAATTCAGTCAGCATTCATTCCACCAGGTCAATCAATTATAAACAAAGCTGGCAATAAGATCGGATTACAAAATATACAACAATGTCACTAGAGGCTACTATTCTTCAAATATATATTTCATTCCTTTTTTCATTCTAATATGTACAAATTTTATTTCAATTCATTATAATGTAACAAAAATCATAAATGCTTGCTTTTTACAATAATATCGCTGATAAAATAGGCATGGAAAATAAGCATTTCACAAATAACTTTTTGCATTATTAAAACATGTACAGCTACCTTCAAGAAAATACGATCTCATAATGAAGGAATATTGGGAAAACTCATTACTTCAAATCATATTAACTGACTGTTGTACTAATTCAGCCTTAACATACCTTAAGTATCATACCATAAAAACGGATGTTACTACAGGTTAGTTGAAATAATTACTCTGTTTTTTCCTTTACAGAATCATTCAATAGATTCTTTTTAGCCATCACTCTTCGGTCAAACTCTTCAACTTTTGTTAAATTAAGTTTATCAGATTCTTCCAGTGGTATATTTTCAAGTGGTGCAACAAAATAATCCTCAACAACTTTGGCAGCATTCATCAGAACTTCAGCTTTGGTCATAGGATTATCTGCAACATCTTCCCGAAGTGGGCACGGCATATCTTCGAGCAAAGTTTCGAGCGGTTCAATACCCTGGAAACGAGTTTTTTTTTTTTTTCGAATAAGTTAGAGGTCCAAAAAAATCATGAGTTCTTCCATTTAAAACAGACGCTAATCAATTCAGAAATAATTTACTTTCCTATTAAACAAGATATGAACAAGGACTTGCAAAACCGATTTGCGCAAAAATTATATACAAAATCATTTGCATTGAAGTCGCATTTTCAGTTCGGAAAAATGGTTGAAATGGACATTACTTTTTGTTGATGTATGACTATTTATTCATCCATTGTGCATGAAATATTTGAAAGACCACTTATACAGTTATACATCTACGCATGTAGAGGTCAAGACGTGACCTTGCCAAAAATATCAAAATTATTCAGATTTCAGTACAATACACCTCTGCTAAGGTTATCAAACTGTGACTATAACGAAGATCAAAGAGTAATCTTCATGATTTTGATAATTACAGCTCAGCAATTTAAAAAGGACCTTACCGTAGTGTCAACCAACTTCAGCTGATTTGCAAATCGCACCGCTTCTTTTAAATTAAAAACTGCTTGTTCGTCAGTAAACCACACCAAGGAAAGTCTTTCCAAATGGGTAATAAGGGCTTTGTCGAAAACTGGAGGCTCCTCCACTTTACTTTGATCGATCTGTGAAAAGCCGAAGAAATTTACTTAAGGTTTTCCACAGTTGTATAATTTCAGTTTCATGTATTAATAACAGACTGTTTCAATCTGCAACTGTTTCAGTAGCGTCAAACAACTTCAGTTTACAGTTAACTGATCTTTACATAAATAACGAGCTTAAATTTTTTTATTGCTGGTTTCTTCTGCTTAATGCAATAATTGCAGCCTTGAGTTTATCGCACTATAAAAACATATCCTAATTGAATATGAAACCAGAATTCGCTCCTCGTCAAAAGATATAATAGGATCATTTGTTTGTTTATCTTCATTAAATATATGGACAAACATATTAATTCGATCGACTACTTAACTTTTCATAAAAGATGGCATAAAATATGACGTAAAATTTAAGAACGTTTTAAAAACTAACTGGTGAAAGAATCGGTTTCTTAGGTACATAAATTTTATCATCTTCATCTGCTGAGCTTGCTGCAACTGAATTACATCCTAATGTTTCTCTTGATATGCACCGCACACCAAATCTTACACATCTAAGCCGCTGCTTGAATATTACTTGGAAACCAATCGTCGACAAATTCATTCCTTCAATTTTATCTTAATCGAACATACCTATATCTTGTAAATTTTTGAGCACTGAAAAAAGTTTTATAGGAAAAAAAAAAAGAAAAAACAAAGAAAAAATGTAGAGTAAAATCAAAGAAATAAAACACCTTCCCCACTTAAATATTGTAAAAAAAAAATATTGTAATGATGAAAAAAAAAAAATTCTATTGATGCACTTATAATAAGCCATGCAAAAATTCCAAAAACAAATGAGTAAAATAAAATATTCCATCAACCGATGATAGCACCAGCCAACTAGTAACTTCCTTGAACAATTTCAAAGAAAAATCTCGACTATTTTTATCTCGGAAATTCACCTTTCTATTGTCCTGTAAATTTTGTAAAATTGAAAATGCCCCACCACACAAATCTAGCTAACTAGAAAAAAGTGAAACATTTTCTCAATTCAAATATCGTATACTGAGAAATTAAATAATCATCACATATACCACATAATTTTTTTCTGAATTAAATAGATCAGTGGCATAAATTAAGAGAGGTACCTTTAGCCCATGTACTTTTTGTGGTGTATTTAACGCCTGCAAGAAGCCAACTAGTCTGCATATGATGTTTTATTGATAATGAATATGACCATACAATCACATAGACAAAAAGAGGAAGATGCATAGGTACCCAGCTAGAAAACACGAGAGACAATTTCTAAGTAAAATAATATTGGCCATGCGATGTCTGAAATGTTTCAGCGCTCAAGACTTGAGAATTGGAAAGTGACAAAATCTAGTATTACTGAGTTTTAATGCACAGAAATACACAGTGATGAATAAATGTAGCAAAAGATATCCCTCTAAATTAGCAATGTGAAAAAGGAAATCAAAAATATAAGAGGCCTGATTGGGAATATTGAGGCTTAAATTATCGTTTGTAATAGAACCAAGTTTTAAAATATTAAAAAAGACATACAGGTTAGGAGACAATATCTCAAATGTAATATCAATAGCAGTAAAGTGGTGCAAAGTACACAATTACATCCTCGATTACCAGGAATTTTTATTTCTCGTGTAATTTTAACCAAAAATCTTTCTGCTGTATGAAATATTGAAAAAGTTCCAATAATTACAAATATATGGAGGCATGGAGTATTGAAATTTCAATGCATTTTGCTAAAATTAGTACGAATTGCTGCATGAAATTACGAATTTCGACTCTGAAAGGCACGTCGTCGTTTCGTAATGTTTACCGCTGAATCATTCTGCTTTTTAACGACTGTACAACCATGTTCACTATTATCCTGAAAAGTATTGTTATCCAGAACTTTAAAAATTGCAACAAATTCTTTCGTCTTGATTTTAAAAACATTCGAGTGGACAGACTTCATATAACCCAAAGAATTTTTGTATTTTAGTAACCACTTCACAAGAGATATATACGAAATTAACTTGTTTTTAAAAAACCTTAAATCATCAATGTCTCATTCGCACTTTTCAGCCTTTTCTTTTCTTACCAAAACACGGAAAGTAAGAAGGAAATGGAATTAAAATCCTTCTAAAATACAAGCAAATTTACTTCAGGTGTTTCAACAATGTCGTCAAGATCGCACTTTAATGTTTCTTTGAGAGCTCTTGGTGAGAGGACGGTGAACGGTGTTTCCAGAATCGAGTCACGCGGCTATAAATAATTGTAAATCAATTAAAGGTAAAATTAATATTAATTTTGATCAATGACTACTACCAGTTTAAAACTGGGACAAAATAACCATCGCCTAGTGGAAAGAGAAAATTAATCACTACCCAGTATGGAAATCTACCGCTTACCCGGTACTGACTTAGCCTTCGTGGTATTTCACTTTGATTGGTTTTGTTAATCAAATCACTCGCATCCGGAATTTCAATCGGTTCTGGAAGTTTTACCTGCTTTCTACGGACTGGCGTTTCACCTTAAATTATAACTTTTGCTACTAAAGAATCATATAAAATTAGCAAAGTGCAGCAGAGATTTCTATTTGATCATTATGCGGATTATGCAGTCAGTAATATACAAAAGTGATATTCTATCATTCTGAGTTTTCGATGTGACATTACACATCAGAAAGCAACTTATACTAGTAACACAAAAACATCGCACTAAACTGTTGCTTTTTTTGAATATTTTTTGAAGACCTCAGTAAAAAATTCCATGAAAATGAAAATAATGTGAGATAAAACCTACCAGTGTTGGATGGACGAATAATATTCCTTTCAATGAATTGTTCTGTTCGAGAATATGCTTCATGTACTTCCTGAAGCAGTGATGATGATGCCACTCCACTGAATTCCATCTAAATTTACAAACAAAACATCAAAAAAATTATAAAAGAAAAAACGGATAAATAAATTTTTTTTTGCGCCTGAGAAAAACTGCAACAGAAGATTAGAATAAAAGAAATTACTTGATGCATTGCAACATTTGTATTTGAGTTTGCCATTTCATTTATATAGGCAGACACCACGTCGCCCTGCTTTTGCAAATCTCTACATAGCGCTTCCATTGTTCTGTGTGTCTACAATAATCACAATACCAACATATAAAAGAAATTTTCAACCCAAATATATACATAATCAAAACAACGTTAATACAACCCAAACAACATAGTAAAAGACACTAAATGATAAAAAGAAAATTTGATTTTAACTTACACCATCAATATTTTCTCTTTGGAAAGTGATTTTCTTTGAAAAATCATATTTGAATGATTCCCAGGCCATTTTGTTGGGACATGTTTCGTCGACAGTGGCTTTCACATATACACATTGCCTTTCAAAAGCAGATTGTTGTTCGGCCCTCAACGATTTCAGCTTCCCGCTTACTTCTTCCATTTCCTCTCTCGTCGTTTCAGTGTATGTTCCTAATGCATCAGTGACCTAACGTAAAACATTCATTGGATTTCAAATAATAGTAGAGATATGGAAATCTATTAAAGATCAAAAATTATAGTGAAATGATTAGGATAACCTATCCCTTATACTAAGTTTAGTTATCCCTTATATATTTTCTCTAATTCAGTTTGAGATTTAGCGGAAATGTGCATTTTTCATTTTTCAGAAGTATTACGAACTGAAATTAAATCATAAGGTGATTCCATATACCAAACAAAAAGATATCATTCCTATACATATCAAAACGATGTTAATACTACATATCTTAAAAATAATAAGTTCCAGTAATAAGCACCAAGAATTTCCCGTTTTCCGTTCATTATTCTGTCCATCTTCATCTGCAAAATTAATTGCTAGACAAAACATGCTTGTCCAAGCATCTGAAACTTACCAATTGCTTCATTTTTTCTGCCATTGACACGGTATGATTGGTATAATTAGTGGAAACTTCATAATATTTTTTTCCCAGCATTTCATATTCGTCTACCTGGAACCACTATAAATATTCCTACAGCTCTGAAACAGTATTTGCAGAGGATTTAAATTCCCTTGCTGATTTGTAAGAATCTTTTCCACAAATATTTTTCTTAAATGGAGACATAATAAGTTTAAGGTTAATTTCAAATAAAGCTCACATGTTTCACAAAAAAGTCAATAAATTTGTTATGCTGTTCATATAATTTTTCATGATAACTCTGTGCACCATTAATGAACGCACATACTTCCCTCAAAAAACTGACAGCTGAGTTGTCGGTGCCATTCTGAATAGAAACATGATTTTCAAAAGGATTAAAAAAGGAAAAGTAAAATATATCCTAGAAAATACATAACAACCCTCCTTTTTGCATCATATTCAATTATATTCGATTTTTCATTTAATTATAAAAATTTCCTTAGAATATGCTTAGGTTTCTTTTTGAATCTCTTATACTTCCGAATATATCAAATTGTCAAAATTACCTCACAGCTAGTAAAAAACGCCTTCAACTGCGAAAGAAGTAAATCTATATAGTTCCGAAATGCGTGCATATCTTTTTCTACATTAGCTTTCGTTTGTTCTGAAATTACTTCTCAATGTTTCAGTATTCTGTCGCATAACTGTCCCAAAATGGAACAAACTCCATTAACCTGCATCTGATATGTGATGTGAATATCATCTGAGAGATTGCATGAAAAGTGTTGCTGTATGTTAAAATATTAATGCCAAAATAAAATATTATAAAAATACTAATACAGATAAAAGTTTTATAAAAGCTGAGAATTTGAATTTTTCCTCTAAGGGATAAAAAAGTACCAAACCACATATAACCGCAAAATTCGGGTTAGCTAATAATATTGTATTAGCAATATTGTAGTAGTCATTACGCAAAATTGGTATGATTCAATTCAAGTTTGTAAAGAAAGGGATTTCCTTATGTATAAATATAAAAAAATTTCCGTTTAAAATCTGGTTAAAATTGAAGCCTCGTGTCTTAAAATGTTTCACTCTTCAGCAGCTAGTACTTACATGAAACACCTTTTAATGTATGCTTAATTCAACTTCAAAACAACAAATAAAAAATAAACGAACTTCTCACCACAATAATCTGTCATTTTTTTCATTTCCGATTGTAACATATCATTCCAATCTTCGACACCTTTCTTCAGCTTGTCAGCACTTTGTGCACTATTTCTTGTATACTGAATATACAGTTTTTCATTTTCATTTGCCGCATTACGAAAGACATCAATTTTGTCATGTGTTTTACCCAAGTCCGAGTCCAAATGTAAGCAGTTTTGACGGAGCTAAAATAATAGAATCTTAACTTCAGAAGCTCTACAAATAGAATAAAAAAATGTTGCAAATATATTTCATAGATTTACAACCTTCCAATTGCTTGAATGATTAACACTAGCCTGTCTATTTTCCACTTGGCTTTTATTCGCTGATTCCTGCAACTTCTTCAAAACGAACTGATAATTTTCCAAGTTCGACTTGCAATCCGCTAACTCCTTTAAATTTAAATTACTATCAGTAAATCTGATCCACATAAATGCTGACTGTCAATAAGATCTATATTTAAATGTCAAGCTTTGTTTCTAATCCAGAATATACGACGACTGAGATAATAAGTGAAGAGAGCATTGAAAAAGAAAAATCCGACCACGGCAGTTTTAAGCAAAATTATCATTTCTTAATGTATGCTATGTATTGTGTCAACAGTAAATGCTGTAAAATTATATCAAAAATTACCAGAACAATAGAACTTGCCGAACCCAACCTTCAGCAGCTATGATCGATTTTCCCAGAACTATAGCAAAACGCATGAATATTACCTACCAAACTTAACTGAGCATTTTCATTGCAACGCTCTCTATACTTCTGTTCCATATGTTTGTAACGTTCGTAAAGACGGCCATAATGCTGGCCTAGGAGTTCAGCATCTTGCATTAGCTATAAAAATTAGGGGTAAATATAGTGCTTTAACACGTGGAAGCAATAAGAAAATATAGCAACAATTTCGAAAACATAACAGCGGTTTCAGAGTAATTTTCATAGAAAATCCACTGATGCAATGATATATTATACGGTGAATACGCACAGGACAGAACTATATAATCATTATGTTGCCATAGGGAAAAGAAATGCTTCTATCTGACGTAGAAAATATTTCATCAAAAAAAAAAAAAAAAAACTAAATATAAAAACTTGCCAACTGAATGCGTTCAAGAACTGATTGAAGCTCATCAGTGAGCGTTTCGATCTGTTGGCTCTGTTGCGCAAGTTGTGTATTCATGTTTCTGCAAATATCACTTGAAAAATTTGCAAATCACTATTATTTACCAAATGAAATGAAATATATTGAAATAGAGCAAATTAAGTTAGAAATCAAAAACATCTAAATGAAAAATCGAAAAAAACATAAAAAACAAAAAGTCGAAAAAACATATTTTAACCATAAAATACATAAGTAAAGCACACTCATAATTCTGACGATCAACAAAGAAGCCCGTCTTATCACGTGCCGCTTGTAAATCACGCATTAGGCGATTCATTTCATCATTGTAAGCCTGAGACAGAGACAGACCAATTAGTAAAGATTACTTAACTGAAAGTGCAACCATTCGAATGAAATGATATAAGCTGCAAATGAGTATAACACATAAAACACAAGCCATAATTACCATAGTTGGTTGTGACAGTCTTCTCACTGCACTTACTAAATTTGATGAGATTTTCAGTACATGAACAAACCTTAAGTAGAGCACGATGAGTCAATTTTTGATTTATTTCAGGTTGATTCTTAATATTTTTTGCAGTTGAAGCATATTCTAATGTGCTAATCGACTCCTTAAACAAAAGGAATAAGAAAAAGCAAATTGAAAAATCTTTTTAATCGTTAAAATCAACAAAAAACCATTACTTCTATCCTATTAAATAGAAATTAAAATGTGTGGCTGATGGTCATAACTTACTTCAATATTGGTAGAAGCAGGCGATAACGTTGCTACAATAGTAGTAATAGTCTTACCACCTAATGAATCTTGCAAAATCCTCGTAAGCTTGCTCTCTCTAAAACATTAACTTATTAAGCCTGTACAGTTTCCATTTCCATTATCTATTGTGCAAGATACACCAAATTTTATACAAAGAGCCTAACAAATTAAAAACACGAAAATTTGAACATTTACCTGTATGGGACATGACCAGCTCCCGAAGTTAAAGCCATAATGACTCGACCCAGTGTTAATAAAGATTGATTAATACTTCCTGTATGTAATGAAAGGCATAATGACCAGAATTAGATTTAAAATGTCCAAACAAATTTCCGTAATCAACAGTTTCAGAAAATAAAAACAGCTGCAAGTAATATTATTTCAACTAGGTATATAGAAATACAAAAAAAGCCAACCTGCTTCCCGAGCTCTTTTATCGATGGAACCCGAACGACCAATATTTTCCGAACCAGCCAAATCAATTAAACTTAACTTTCCTTGCTTGATGACTTCTTCCCCGCTCACAGTATTTTCTCGAATTACAACTGTTATTGTGAAAACGGTATGAGAGCGGCTAAAAATCAAAAAAGAATCACGTCCCTTCTACAAATTTAAACTGATTACAGTGATTTAAAATGACAAAATAATTATCACATTTATTTCATTATAACCTTGAATTCAAGTTCATTTGAGTCACAGCAGTTCTTCGTTTCTCTGCACCCCTTTTTAACAGTTCACGAACTTCAAGACGGTCAGACACTGGAACTTCTTCCAAGCCACTAATAATTACCGAACCCTAAACTCTGCCAGAATATATCAGTTTCTGCAATTTTCGTAAACATTAAAGAAATCACAATATTAAAGAGGCGCGAAATTTGTTACCTTCCGCACAGAATCTTCGAAAAGTCGCAATCTTGCATGACCTAGTTCAGCATTCCCAAGCAAATCGTACAGTTCTTCGTTGTATAACTCAACATATGATACACGAACTGAGAATTCTTCCGCATCCTTCAAACTTGTAGGATTATCTTTAGTTAAATTTATAAAAGCTTTCCTATTGCCCCACCTGAATTACATCAACTATCATCAATTCTTTATAAATTTTAAGTAAATGGTTTTCTGAACTGATTTAGCCGATAAATACAAACAGCTCTCGGTTAAATATTTCCGTCAAAATTCTACAATCAAGATCGATAAAAAAAAATGAATTCTCTAATATTAGAAGTACCTGGTTCTCCAACTCAGTAAAAATGTGTTGCAAAGCTCGTGGCACTATACCAACTGATGAATCTTCGTTCCATGCGTGTTCATAAGCTGAACTGATTTGCTCACCTTCCATTGTAAATGTCTTGCCTGTACTTGTCTGTCCGTAACTGAAAATAACTTGAAAGAGGTTAAAACATCTGAAGAATTTTTAAAAATAATAATAAGGTAGCTGGACATAAAAGGAATAAAAAATAGACACTTACGCAAATAAAGTGCAGTTGTAACCAGCAAGAACATTTTTGACCAATGGTTCGACCAAATCCAAGTATATGTCGAGCTGTTTTGCATGCGTTCCGTATACCTAAATTTACAAAAAAGATCAGATCTCAATTAAATCTCCAAAACAGTACCCTTTATTTCGGATACTGGATTGAACACATTTTAACGATCTAAAAGCATTCAAAGTGTTAGACAATTCATCATAATCAAAAATCTTGACTTTATATCATATTGGTTAAAACCTAACAACGTAGTTTTGCAGAGCAAAAAGAAAGAGAAAATCCAAGACAAGACTAATGAAACCTTTTTCGATTTAGATGACAATAGGCCGAATGGTATCTTGCGGTTCATGGGCCCAGCAAGGCACAACATCTAGTCTAAAATGAAACGCAAACCTTATCAAATGGTCCAAATTCCTTGTTGACTCCCCGGTCAATTACAGCAACAATTCGTTTGCGAGCATTTGCCATAAGTGAGCAGCGAGCCCTCTCGGCAATTTCATTATCATTCATCGGTCTAAACTTGATATATCATACTTCTTAATTGAATTGACTACAGAAAGCTTCACACTTCACACACTATGTGCGCCTTTCCTATCTCTTGTTTTAATTCTACATTACTAATCACTAGTAATTGTCTATTAAAACTAATCTCTTAAAAATAATCTATATACCTTATCCGAACGGCAACACGTACGTTTTTGCCAGTTTTAGGAGTTTTATCTGTATTCGACATTTTCACTGAAATCAGAATAATATGAAAATATATAATTACATACGAAATAACGCTGGGAAAAGGCAAATTTTCCAAAAATACTGTCGAGTGATAATCTGGCTCTTTACAATTGTAGTCATAGGATGACAATCGATTGCTTTAATCTTTCAAAAAAGGAAGGTTAAAAAAACTAAAATTGGAATAGAAATTTTTCCCAATTCACTCGAAATGTCAAATCATTTTTTCCGACCTACAATGCGCTACAAATCCCTGATCAACCTTGGACGTTAACATACTATAATCCTATTTCACACAAATGATATATGGAATAGCAGGTAACCAAAACACCATCGATAAAACAAAAATCGTAAACTAGATTAGCAAAATCGTTAAGTCCTTCTTGAATTTTTCTGGGGGAAGAATTATTTCACATTGTTCTATCTGGGCTAACTTTATCCATAACCCTTACTTGCACTACATTTGCATACTGTTTCCTTGAGTATTGGTAAATACTATTGTTTCCTCCAGACAACTGTGTTTAATTCTAGCATCATTATAAGCTTATATATATATATATTATATTGTAGGAATAGTCGTTTGCTATCCTGCTTTATGCATAGATACCATATGAGAGTCGATGTCTTCATCCATTAAAAAATAGAAAAATTAAGGTCCCCGCCACTGTAACTCACCTCGCCTCAATCGGGAATGGAATACATTGTGACGGTCTGTCTCACCCACCATTTTAATCCAAAACACCTCCTCACAGCAAATGAATTTTTAACAGTAGTGAAATCTTGAAATGGATTATTTTTAAACAAGAAACTCATGAATACTTATCGGAATCACAACTAAGCTCTTAATAAAATTATATTATTTCATCTGATCCAACAATGTAATATGCTGCAATGCTTCTTTCGAAAACGTAAAACAGTCAAAAGAAGTGCAAGTGTTGAACGATTCATTTATACTCTCAAATGTAAGCATTTTAAAGGAAGAATTACTTGAAACAAACCAAAAAAACACTGCCGTCAACGGATAAATCATGCATATACTAGAAAATTGTATCCGAATTGTTTGGAAGTCGCATCCGAATTATCCCGCCAAAGTTTCCATCATACCTACAATGAAACTTTGAATCCCTCGAATTAACATGAGATAAAAGCACGGTAAAAAACTGTATTGGGAGTTGGGAGATGTTGGTGATTCGCGGCGTACCCGTGGTTTATCTCGTGCATATCACTTTATCGTAGAGTGGTTGAAATTATCAGTATTTTCAACCATTCTTCAATCATCAGCTTTTTCCGCACTACAGTTATGAATATGAGAGGACCTTTTCTCTCAATTCGCTTTACTTTGCTTTATGTATTTGCTCATTTTAAGAAGTTAATTTGCTTGTAAAGTTTAGTTATGGATGACTAGATTAATGAGTGATTTTCGAAATACAAAAGGAATGGTGCTGATTATATTTAAATATGTGTATTTGTGTGTATGCGTCTTTCCTCTCCTCTACAACTAGGTCATATAATTTACACTTGCAGTACAAGCAGTTTTTATTCATATGATAACGTTAGATTACTTTTTTTAAACATAGTTTTACATATGATTAGAAGCTGAAAGAGGTAATATGTGAAGTATAACGTAATATTAGTCTATTTTAATGGATAAGAAACAGAGCAGTGTGACTACGTGTACAATTTATTGCTATAACTTTCTGATATTATGATTAATTATTTGCATGTAACGAATATTATGAAGCTAGTGTACATTTCTAGGTGTCATGCTTTCTCACCCAATGATAATGGCAGATTTTGATGTGTTATGCGGTACTGAAGATGAAGTGAAAAAGTGCGAAGCGGGAAATATTCGTAACAAGAACGGTAATCATCACATCGTCACAACCCCACCTGAAAAATGGAATTATGACGATGTTGCTGCATGGCTTAATGAACAGGGTTTTGAGAAATATGCTAATATCATCGCTTACAGACATAAGGTATTTTTTCTTCTGCTGCACGAGTAATTATTGCTTAGTGAATAAGTAATGAATTAACATTTGACTTGCCAGTGGTAAATATTAAGTTTCTGCATGTATTTTTCTCATCCGTTATTGTTTGAAAAACGAGCTGTCTTCGTGAATCTTTTCAAGTTCCTTTTCTCATGTCATGTCAGATTGATGGTCGTACATTACTTATGCTAACAGAAGTCGATTTACGCGAGAAACCATTGAAATTGGATTGCCTTGGTGATATTAAGCGCATTGCCTTAGCTGTTTCCAGGTTAAGAACTGATTTGGCGTCTTTAGAAGCGGTGGTTAGTATTTGTATTATCCAGTAAATTTTAAGCTTATGTATTTGGTTCTGCTAAAATCATTGTTTACTTCTGAATTTATGTTTGTCGTTGCAGTTGAAACAGTCAAAACGACATGAGTGTGGTTATAATGCGAACGATCAGGATAGGGTGGATACGGTCGGTAAAGCAGCATAACTACATTCTGTTATGATTGCTTCAGGTTGTGCTGATGACCAGAATTTATACGAAGAACAGCTTTGTACAAAACTTTCTGTTGGAATATCCTAAAGTTTTCATGCTATTCATGTTATAAATAGATAGTCTTCGTTACTGGCGATTCAGCACAATTTATTTGATTATGTACTTTTTGGTTGGAACTTGGGAATTATAAATCGTTTTTCAGTCAAAGCTGCAGTTGGCCGTTGCAAGCACGAGGAATCAAATATCATTTCCTGGTAATGATCCCTTACTAATTGATTCGAGTGATCTTAAGAATTATGAAGATGGATTGGTGCCTACTGCGGGCCCCTATCCAAAAATTTTGTCTAAAACAAGGCAAGATTTGCTATATTGTTGCGCTACATACATTTTTATTACTCTCTGTGATGAGTTAGTTGTCGTTATTCAGTATTAATATAATATTAGGGAAGATATTACCATGTGAAGCACTAGATTTCCAGACAATTTAAGCCACATTTATTTTTTTATAACTGTTTTATAATGTTGTATCCTGTCTGAGTTGCTAGTGATTCAAATGATAAAGCGTCTCAAAACTTAAATTTAATTTCATGCAAAAAAACCATTTTGACTTTCAGTGAAACTGCACAGTGTATAGCTGCAAATTCGTTAGATGAGGGGAGACTAAAGCAAATGCATCTTCTGAGCAGGGAAGATTTGATACGACAGGTTATTTTTTCTCATGTTCTTTTCTACTTTTATTGATTAAATTTATATATTTTATAATGTAAACTATGTTCTCGACTAATTTAACCAGTATGCTAAATTCTGGTCTACGATTTTGACAGGTGGATAATTTTGTTTTTCACAAATGCGTTTGCTTTTGAAAAATCTTATACGTCATCATATATCATTTTGAATAAAGTTCAATGAACAGGTTGCAGGTGGAAAGCCCCGACACAAAATTCAAATCGTTCATAAAATTAACTATTGCTTTTTGTTATTGTACATCTTCTTTATTAATTACTGCTTTTGTAATGGTTCTTGTACATGATCGTGTACCAGGTGAGTAACTTTTTGTCTCAGAAAATCTATTTAAAAATTTTCAAAAACAACAGCCTAAGAAGGACGGAAATATCATATTTGGACTGTCTCTTACTAAGCTTTACTTGTTAATATAATATCTGTAGCAATCTTTAGATATGAAAACATATCCACCTTTGCCAGATATCGTACTTGATAACTTGCCGCTGATACCATGGGCTTTTCAAGTTTGTGAAGGAATAGCAGTTTTTCTGGCATTACTGTGGTTCACGATTTTGTTCTTTCATAAGCATCGGTATTTTTTGCAGTAATCATAGTAGTCGTAAATAATCACTAAACAAGTTACCTGCTGCGAAATTTAGTGGCCAATTTATTGGTATTTCACGGAAATCATTTATTATAGTGAAGCTCATACTGTTTTGAAAAAGTTTAGTTGCCTGCAAAAACTCCCAGATGTATTAAATGACTTTTTTTAATTACTGTTATTCTACTATTGTTATTCTGGTATTCACAGTGTTATGGGACTATATATTTCGCTGTCTGAATGTTCATGATATACCAGAGTTTTTCACTATATTAGTATTGCTATGATAACATCGTAAATGTTTTAAAGCATGCTTTGAAAGTAGGCCTCTAAAATGACTACTGATGATTTTTAAGTCTGGGATTTTCGGTAATGAGACCCAGTAATCAATCAGACCTGAATGTTAACAAATAAGAATTATTTTCTTTTCAGAGTCGTTATAATGCGACGTATGTTTTCGTTGGTTGGAACTGTTTTTTTGTTGCGTTGTGTTACGATGCTAATCACATCCCTATCTGTTCCAGGTCCACATTTGGAATGTCGTTCACAGGTAATTATTTTTGTCGAAGGGAAGATGTTATAATGTGTAGAAGTATGGTTTCGACTTCGAGGAATAATGTTTTTCCTGCATTAGTGATCGATGACTCATCTATCTGTATGAAAGTATTTTTTTGTCTTTCACCAGTTTAATGTTTTAACAGAGTTATGGTACATTCGTCGCAAGGCTTCAGCAAGCCTATCATATCTGGTCACGATTTGGTATGTCAATCCATGGTGTGCGCTCGTGCGGTGATTACATGTTTAGTGGGCATACAACAGCTATGACGTTATTAAACCATTTCATTACTGAATGTTGGTCCATATCTTTCATTTTTGTTCAGGTTTTTAAATTGTATTCATGACTCCACAAGGCACATTACTGACAAATACTCTTCTGTTTTGTTGGAATAAATCTTTTCTTCAGTTCTGGAGCTTCTAGGTTGGCAATATTTCTGAATGGTAGCATTTCTTGAAATGTGGTTTTGCGCACTCATTTTTTTTTTGCTTCATGATCACTATTTAAGTGAAAATGATTCTCCTTAGCTTATTCATTCATAACTACTTTAATGTCTCGTAATTAAATTTATTCTAAAATTTTTGCTTAATTGTTTCTATTCTAATTGCTAGTTATATGATTTTGGGCGAGATATTTTCATTGAATAGGTGTTATTTTATCGATTAGTTTAAGTCAATACATAACATGGGGATAAAGTGGTAAATTTGGGCAAATTTTACAGACACACCAGATTCATGGCATATCTTACATACATTTACTTGGGTTTTAAATCTGTTCGGCATATTTTTCATTTTGGCTGGACACGAACACTACAGTATTGATGTATTCATCGCATTCTGCATCTCATCTCGAATGTTTTTATATTATCATGCATATGCATATCAATTTAGTTCAGCAAGAAGCGATAATCGAATGAGATTATGGTTTCCGCTTGGCTGGTTTGTTTCACTTTTTAATCGCCATTTTCCGTTCGGGGTTAGCAGAGTAGCTCTTTCGGGTCTAATAACAAAGGAGCAGTTCGTTGTGGTTCAGGCAAGAAATATATTATTATACAGGTAGTATTTAACATCTTGTTCCATTATTTTCAAGAATACACGACCGTTTTCAGGTTTTTTGAAGCTGGTGGACAGGGCCGTGTTGCAAATGATTTTGACCTTCCCCTTTATTTTCCTGTAATATCGTTTCCTTCATTCCGGAGAAATCTGTGTATGAAAAGCAAGAAAAAAACAGATTTGGATAAAAAACCCCTACCAAAGCTTGTTATAGATACCTGTGGTATTTCAGCGGATTGCAGCAAACATCTTAAAAGACGCAGAAATAAAAAAAATGAAACTTCTCTGTGCGAAGGACACGTAACTTTTGGGAAAATTTTTTCATAGTTTCACTTTACCGATTAGAAATAGGAATTAAATTTTGCTTGTTGTTCGGAAAGCGAAAGTTCATTCCAGAACTGAAATTGGAAAAGCTTTCAAGAATACAAAAGTTTTGTTATGAGATAGAATAGTTGAGTGAAAAAGAAAAAAGAAGATTGAATCCAGTGTTTATATGAAATTCAGTCGGCTCACCCGTATTTTTCGTACTTTTGTTTTTTAAGAACTTTTTTTATACTTAAAAAAGATGTATTCTTGTTTAGCTTCAGCCATTCTTGAAAGAATAGATTTAAAGTGAGAGAAAATATTTTACCTCATTTTTTGGTGACATATGTTTTAATATTTAAATGCTTTTATGAATAGAAATTGTCGCATTTCGTCTAGTAACTGAGGAGCAGCATATTTCATATTTGCTTTTTCTTGGCTTTAGGAAAAGTGAATGAGAAAACAGAGAAAAAGAAATAAATCAGTATGTGTGATATAAAAAAATATTTGAATCTTTAAGTTCTGGAACACTTGTTGTTGGTGTTATATATTCATTAATATACTTAATTTATAATTGAGCAAACAGACCACTAAAGTTCAGGTATTTTAGATGTTTTTTTTACATCATTATAACTGGAAGTAAAAGTTAGGTGAGAGTAATGAAAATTGCAAGCTAGGCTTTTTTTGGGAATGGAGTATTTTGTATTAGTGAATAGTTGTAATGTAGTCGTTACTGATACAGTGAAGATCAGTGATTCTTTAATAATTTTCCAATATATTTAGATGAGTTTTCGTTTATGTAGAATATGGTTATTATGGTATCACTGTCTATTGAATTCAGGCTAGTGATTCTTCCACAATATTGTTTTGTTGTAGAAGAGTTACTGCCATATTACACAATATTAAATGTTGTTATAATTTAGTTGTATTAAATGCTGTTATACCTTAGTTATGTTTTCGATGACTTTAAAAAAGTCATCGATTTTTTTTTTCTAAGTGAATTGTTTTATAAAGTCACATCATCGTTTACAAATAAATCTCTTAGGATTCATTTGTAAGGAAAAGTCAAATTTAAAACAAGTAGATTAGTAAAATATTTTGATATCTCTTTCAATTCGATATTTCTTTTAATTAAATGTTTTGTAGATGTACGTGCACTTTTTTGAATGATTTGGTAATATTCCTGATACAATTCTGACCAAAGATTCAATTCTTTAAAATATGAAGCGCCCCACCTGTACATCTGCAGTTGTCATTTTTCCAATTATTTTGAAGTTTATTCTATTCGATTTAGGCGATTTTGTTTGTTTTTAAAGCCATTTTTTTGTCTAATTGTGAGATAAAAATTTTTTAAATCAATATAACTTGTTTTTTATGCTTTATGAAGAGCCCGAAGATTTTAACTTCAAACTAAAGTTTCGTATTGCTGTTTCTAGAACAGCTTCGTTAGTGAAAGGACTGAAGCGTATTCTCAAGTAAAATTCAATGACAGCAAAGCTACGTATTCCTTCAGTATTTCATTGATTAATCTTAACATTATATCAGTTTTAAAGCCATTTTTATTCCTGAAAAAAAAAAAAAAAAAAGATTTCTAGGAACTTTTCATCGAGTTATTGCTGTTAGTTGCTAATCTTAGGCAATGATATGAAACAGTGAAGAACCGAACAGTCCGGCAAATGGAAAGGCGGAGTGAGATCATTTATTTCTGAGACTACAAATTGCAGTTTTATTCCCTCGAAATTCCTTTTTTAATATTTGATAGTTGTTTAGAAGTTTGAGGTGTGTAGGTTGATTGTTTTAAAATAAAATATGATTTTTCCTTATATTTATTATTATTTTTTATCGTTAAGTGGAGTGGTTTGTGTAGCTTCGTGCTTTTTATCTTATCAAACAGTTGCAATAGAAATTATATACATTGAATGTCAACTGTTCAGATATTCGAGGAACAGATGGATCCGGATTTGCACAACCGAAAGATACTTCATGGTTATATGCCGTTAGCAGATGCGGAAATAGTAACTCACAAAGGGACGTGATTACTTCGACTAATGGATTAGAAAGGTAAAATTGTTCTTCACTGTTGCTCAAAATTTTAATGGTAGTTTCGTTAAAGTCGGAAGATTTACTAAAGTATTATTAGTAAACATAATTTTAATTTCGAACTTAAAGCAATCCTCAAACTTTGGAAACTTTAAATAATGCAGTTGAATAGAATAAAATACGAAATTTGTAGCTATGCAATGAATTTCAAGCAATGAAAAAGAATAATTTTAGGTCAGCTCGTTTGTGTCCTCTCTGTTTACCACAACGGTGAAGTAATAACGGTATTAATCGCATGAAAAAAATTTCTTCAGTGATGACCATAAGGTTCGTTTTGTGAGCCTATTTCTTCTCCTTTTCTTTAAAAAATGGTAATTATTAAAATTGAAGTCTTAATTTGCGTTTGGAAATAAATTTAATGATAGATACTAAGAACCTTTTACGTCTAAATAAGTACAGATAGCGATTATATACCTGTTATAGGTCCGATAACAATAAATAGTTATTCAGGATCATAGTAGAGGTATAGTCACTACTACACTGGCATCAAAATAAGACGCTGGTAGCACGGAAACGGTTTTGAAGAAACCGATTTTTTTTTACTGGCCGTTATACTAATCTGAACAAATGTTAACACATACTTGTTTTTTCTCGTTCTTGCTTGTGTTGAAAAAGAAAAAATTCAAGCCGCAGCGATGTTGCTTACAAGCAAGCAGTTAGTAATAGAAAGTAGGAAGCAATTCTTGGCTGGAGCTGGCGTTCTGAAAGAAATATCACATTCAAATATTTTACAGTTTTATGGTGTTATTATTACAGCTCTTCCGCTTACAATGATTGTTGAATTTTGTCAAAGGAAATTTCGTTTTTAATTATCGTCCATTTATAAATCGTAACCTATGACATATAGCCTAAACCTGTAACTTGCAACCTACATTTTATGTTTTACAATTGCAAATTTTTTTGAAGATTGAAAAAAGTTACTCAAAACCCACAATCTATTATTACTTATAATCTATAACCCTATTATTGCTTATTCCCTAACTCTTAACCTATAACTTACAACCTATGATTTAGAACCTATAATCTATTATTTAATATTTATAACGTATAATGTGTAACCTACAACCTATAACTCTGAAAATTACAAAAAATATTGAATAGATAAAGCTATAACAACAGAATGCTTGTGTTAAATGATTGGAATTCAAGTATTCAAGATAAGTTAAGAATGCAAATTGGAAATTCGCTGTGAAATACAAATTGAAAATCTAGTGAAATTGTTAACGTTTCTACAAAAAAAAAGAAGCTTGAAAAGACCAGAAAGCACGCTATGCGACCGAAGCAGCTACTGCACTGAAATATCTCACTGAGAAAGGATATGTCCGTAGTGATTAGATTTTTCTTCCAAAATCCCGAGATTTACTGGTGACACATTGATGTCCATCCCATAAAAATAATGTATTTTAGCTGATTCATTCATTTTTTCCGGACTTCGCAATGTGCGCTTTCCAGGTTCGTGGGGAAAGTTTTTATTCCAAAATAAAATGCAATAACAAAAACCTCAGTGAATGTGAGAAGCGATGTCGCTCATCGCTGACAACTGATAAGATTTTCATTGGTTGTATTGATTTCGAAAATTTACCGAAATTATAATTCAGAGATGCGAAAGCGGCGAATTGTCTCTGATCGATAGAAATATAAAGTTAAAATTGGCTATTTTTTGCTATGTTGGATCAGACCTACCATTTATTCATAAGGAACCTTTGAGAGTATTTCTGCAGGGTGGCTGGCTCTATAAACTATGCTGAGACATGACTTCTCCAAGGAAACCGATGTCCGGGCTTTTGGCTTTCTTGCAAGTTTCTCCATCAATGACGCTAAAAATAAGTTTCTTAGTCGTAAGAGAAGACATTTCTAATTGTGTGTTGTTTGGATGAAGTGTTATTACAATAATATGTCAGATTCTATCATTTTCAATGAGATTACTTACGAAAATACAGGTGGGGAATTTATAAAGACGGCGATATAACTTATCGAGGTCTATCAAACTTGGAAATCCAGTCGTTTGTCATCCACATCAAAGACGCTTGGAACTCCAAAGGTTACTTTCCTACAGCGGGACCATTTCGCATTTCTTACTCGCACAATTTCAACGTACTGTACGCATACCATTATGCAAAGAACCATATAAAAGTATTGGAATAAATTTCCAGTAGCACGTTATCAGTTAACACATCAATAAAAGTAGCATATCAGTACAAGTCTACGTATCAAAACATATTTGTGGTAATGCCGATAACGCAATGACCTCCCCAAATGAAAATCAGATTTCTGAAAGCACTGATAGTGAATAAATGACACGCTGTTGGGAAAAACCATCTCGACGACCAACATTTTAAGAACTCGAGTCTACACTGGGTGATGTCGGAAAGGATGAACATCAAACCCGAATTTAACACTTCTGACCACACCATAACATTTCCGTACATAAATCAATAGTGCGCTTGTCCTTGACCAATAAAGTCAGCATTAAAAAAAACGACCACAAAATGCGCTAGAACCAGACTACCCTAACAATAGACAAAGTACACCTAGCTCAATTTAGTAAACACCAAAGGTAAAAGCGAACAAGAACCCTTCCCACTGCGTCCAAGAACAAAACCTAATAACGTGTATGGAAGAACTCACACCTGGAAGTCCCATCTGGCCCCACGCGGAGCAAAGAACTCCTTAGCCAACCTTTTGTTATGAACAAAGAACCACTTTCAAGTGGAAGCCCAAATAAGCATTCTCACACGAATGCCAATCAAATATCACTAGATCCTTTACCACCCCTGCTTTACATCTGTGTAATCGATAACTTTGAATAACTTCATTTTTTTACAACTATGCATTGATGACGTGGAATAACTTTCCCACCCATCACCGGAATTCGCCAGAAATTCCCCTTCTACCTTACATCATTTGTAAGAGTGCTTACTAAAACCAAACACTATTTCTTCACCAAAAAAAAAAATCAGAAATTCAGCACAATCACATATGTCGAAATAATCTATGGAACAAAGCATTGTAAAATTTTTTATTCACAAATTCGTAGAAAAGGAAAATCACGTCCACCTCGAAAACTAAAGGAAATCCGGCAATTTTGGACCAGTAATTAGAATTAGCGGGCAGTATATACTTTACTTTTCCGAAAAGCAGTACCTATTCCCCCGTGAGAAAAGCGTGGAAACTAATCCTCGAAAATAGGAAGACAATTTTACCAACTTATTCAAAGTTTTTGTATTTCATAATTGCAATCCCTGCCCAAAGTCAGCTTAATAACAACGTCATTGATTCTCCAATTCAAAAAAAATTTACAGCAAGTATGAATCAGTATCCACCACGAAGGCGAAGAACCAGGTGCAGCGTCGATTCCTTCTGAATATTATAATCGGACAATGTGCGACCGTCCTCCAGCTGCTTGCCCGCAAAGATCAGTCGCTGCTGATCTGGTGGAATGCCTTCCTTGTCTTGAATCTTTGCTTTGACATTTTCGATAGTATCAGAAGCCTCCACTTCGAGTGTTATGGTTTTACCCGTCAAAGTCTTTACAAAAATCTGCATTCCTCCGCGCAGTCTAAGCACCAGATGCAAAGTAGATTCCTTCTGGATGTTATAATCAGAAAGCGTGCGACCATCTTCCAGTTGCTTTCCTGAAAAGAAAACCTAGACCAAAGAAACAGGAACCTCTAATTCGAAATCAAAAATTCTGAACATTCCTTGACTTAATGCAAACTAATTTGTCATTAGAATGTCAGTGCAAACTAATCTGTGAAACGGTGCTGAGCAGAAGGAATGCCCTCTTCACCATGGATATTGTCATTTAATTTTGAATCGCATCCGATACTTTTATCCCCGGCGTTACAGTTTTTAGTTTAACGAAAATCTATATTCCATCACAAACACGTTGTGTCACCAAACGCAGTGTCGATTCGTCTCGATGTTATTTAGACAATATGCGTTCATCTTCTAGATGATTACAAACCATGCCCGCCAGTGATATATCGGTATACAGCAGATCCCATTTCAAATTTCTTATTCATTGAGCAAAAATTAAGTAAATGCTTACCAGCAAAAATAAGGCGCTGCTGATCTGGAGGGATCCCTTCTTTGTCCTGAATCTTGGCCTTTACATTTTCGATTGTGTCAGAAGCCTCAACTTCTAAGGTGATCGTCTTGCCCGTCAATGTTTTTACAAAAATTTGCATGCCACCTCGGAGGCGAAGTACAAGATGAAGTGTAGACTCCTTTTGGATATTATAATCGGACAAGGTACGACCATCTTCCAATTGTTTACCTACAAAACATAATAAAATTGCCACCCATCTGAAATGTGCATTATTTTTGCCTAAATTCTAACGGAAAAAATACGCAATAATTAACCGCCATAAGACACACCACTTAGAAAAACATACCCGCGAAGATCAATCGCTGCTGGTCTGGTGGAATTCCCTCCTTGTCCTGGATTTTTGCCTTAACATTCTCGATGGTGTCAGATGCTTCCACTTCCAATGTGATTGTTTTACCGGTAAGAGTTTTAACAAAGATTTGCATACCACCCCTCAATCGCAGAACCAGATGCAATGTCGACTCCTTCTGAATATTATAATCTGACAAAGTACGCCCATCTTCCAACTGCTTACCTGAAAGAATGAGTTTGTTGTTAGGGCGCACCTCTTCTTTAACTACTTAACGGACTAAAACAGAAATTTCATATAAATCAAGTAATTTTCATACCTGCAAATATAAGGCGCTGCTGGTCTGGCGGAATACCCTCCTTGTCTTGTATTTTTGCTTTAACATTTTCAATTGTGTCTGAAGCCTCCACTTCAAGAGTGATCGTTTTTCCAGTCAGTGTTTTCACGAAGATTTGCATGTTTACAAGGATAACGCACTGCAATAAGTTAGCTTTACTTTCCAGAAACCAAAAGACTGTTTCATTTTTATCGGGTAGGGACTCCGAGAGAAATCTAAAAGTATTCGACAAGATGGAGCACGTTGCCTAGAGAGCTGTGACATGCTATCAGCTCTCATGCAAACATACAGATAATTTGTTCTCTCTAAATCAAAGTTCTATCTGGACTAGTCTCAAACCCTCGCGCCAACTTTCTCAGCTTTGCCTTTCTAATAACCGCACTGGTTAACTGCGAGTATAATTTGTCAACCCAACCCCTCAATCCTGAAGTACCACTACAAGTACAGCTACCCGCAAGCCCTCATATTACGCATCTAACGATGTCCCCACCAACCCACTCCAACCAGCAACACTCACCAGCCAGCCAACCCAACGAATGAATGGTTCCCAAGGCAGGCCGGCCATCTTTTATAGCATTCCGTCCGAAGCCCTCCCCACTCCTCCACAATCGATCGATTTGTTGGGCAGTCAACCATACAGCTCGCTGCCCTCTTTCTCTCATTCTTCCGTCCCTGCAAATTTTCTGTTCAGAATGTAGCAATGTGTGCACTATCGATTGGCTCTTGTCTCAGATGACAGATGGGAGCCAATCGATAATCAATCGATACATAGCCGAACCGTCATTTCAATTGCTACAAATACAAATAAGGTTGGGGATTTCTTGCCTACCACCTAGTCGTTCATCATTCCATCCAATCATCTGTCTAGGTTGTACAGCCATCTTTCTGTGGGTGCGGGAGAAGGGCCAGGATTTGCCGGACCTACCAAAGGATTGTCTTAGCGACGTCGCAGACTCAGACAGCAACAGCAGCAATAAATGACCGCATCTGAGCACAACTTATACTAACTGACCCTCCACCTGTCGATGTGGGAAGAGGTACAATGACCTGACCCTTTGACCTTCACTGCCATATATGGGAACATCATAGACAACACCAGATATGAATCTCAAGCTGTTGTATTCTAGTACTTGCATGGATTATGGTTGTGAGTGATAATGGTGATAATAGTTCATGTTTTACAGATAATAATGTGTATAAGAGATCCTGAGCATTGCTGATTTGGGAATCCTTTTAGCCATTAAAAATATTTACTCCAAACGATGACTTAGATGGCTCTAGGGATCACACTGCTATCATTTTTGTGTGCCTAGAGGCCAGTTATATCGTTGTGTGGAGTGCGCTAACTTTCTGGATTCTAATAAACAGTATTTGCTGCTGTAGCTCCAGATTATTCTCCAAATATCCCAACCCTACTTTATGACTCTTAAGAACTTCTGCCAGTTTACTCTTCCTTGTTTGGTTCTTAACATATTCTCTCATTAATCAACGATAAGTTGACTCATCTCTAGGAGATTCTCAGATGCACCGAATGTGCACTTGGAGATTTGTTCACATTGAGTGCAAATTAGGCCTATAATTTGTTCTGTACCTTCCTGTTTCATTGATTTTTTGGATTATCGAAAAAAAAAAAAGCGGAAAAGAGCAAATTACAACAGGTTATTAGTTTGAGTCACGTGCGTGTCCTGTCACTCTCTGCCACTTCAAGGCAAATGCAAATTGTTAACAGCTTCACCATATGATCTTAATTCACTCTCAGTAACATCTATTACTCATATGTGTCATTCCCCAATGAGCTATTCCACTTTATACCTAGCACTTTCCTTTTTTTTAACGAAATATAAAGTATGATGAAATATGGGAACTGAAGGTAGACATGATGATCTGATGTCGAGAGAGCAATGCACGAGAAACTACGTCGATTGTACATATGGTTGATAGCGGACACGCAATGGTATTTGTGAGTGAATTACAATAGATGAAATAGCCGGGAAGGAGGGAATTCGAGAAATGAACCGAGAGGCCAGTAATAAGTGAATGTGACGGTACAGATAGTCGTTATCATATATTTGCTTTCTCAGCATACACAGGCGGACCTTCGCTGGGACCGATAGGATGGGCAGGACTGCTGTTTCTCCTCCATAACATTGCCTATCGATTCTAACCTTTCTTCACAACGATAATCAATCTGTGAATGGTTGAATGAATGAGATGACATTGCAGTAGCTATTCAAAATATTTTGGGGACTATATAAATGTTTTATTTCAGGAAGAAATAATGTCCGTCCATTTTTCAGCTCTTGAACAGACTACTTTCTGTGCTTGCAATACAATTAGGTATTTGCATGTTTCATTACTCAGGTTTCTCAGAGCGAGATTTACCTGCGTAGAAATCACTGACATTTACGTATCTTTGCTTTTAACGATACTTATACATATTTTACGAGAACTCTTGTTAACTTAAAAAGACTAGATTTGATTATTCCTTGCCATTTTCTAAAAAACACTTAATGGTATTGAGTCGCGTGATCAGTAAATAACTAGAGGACAGAGTTAGATTTTTCGGCAACACGTGAATCCCATGATCTCAACGCAGAGCTAAAATATATAAATATTTCATATACTTTAAATACAAATATTTCATACTTTAAGTAGGCAAGAAATAATGAGCATAACTGAGGTCTGTTTACATCTGCTTATCATGAAAAACGCAACAGTTAGAATATTTAGTAAACTATATGATAACAAGCTTAGTGTTTCTTCAGATCTGGACCTGGTCACTCAACGTGAGCAAATTAATGATAATTGAGAGCATACGACCACAGAATTCTGAAATCTAATTCTGAAAGCCTCGATTCAACAAAACAGTCAGAAAAACCAGCTTTATCTGAAGGAACTTGGCGATACTTAATGCTATAAAAACCAAAGCGTCACACCAACAAGACTCAATCCTTGTCCTCTTGAGCAACAGTAGAATTTCCTACTCTACAGTAAATACTGCTGAATAGAATACGAAAGTCCTGTGTCATCTACAATTGTCCATAAATAGTCAAAAATAAATTGAAACAGAAAAAAAAGAAGTCGTTCATCTAAGATTACTGAGCACTTCGACTAGATCACATCCAAAAAAAGCAACAATGACAGTTTAACGTAAAAATTGTTTTTTACACGAGATAGCTGGGTCAGAATATATGCACCAGAATGAGATTATGATAAAACGTCTCATCATCTTTCTGATAACAGTCTTGTTTTTTAGTCGCTTAAATTACTAACTTCCGAAATTTCTGGAACCGTTAAAGTAATCAAGGACGGGAAAATCTTTACATTTGTTAATTGTATCCTGACCCTTTCATAACAGAAAAGTAAATTCATCTTGAACTAAATTTTGATTTCTTTCCGCCTCTGCATATTGAACTGTAATGCCATATTCTTGAAGGTTTTTGCATTATGAGTTTCTTTCAACATATTAACAACTTCCTCAGTATTACCATATGGAAGGCCATTTAAGCACTGTCTGCAATGCAAAGCAATAAGAATCCAAAATGATATGAGCAATACCAAAGTATTTTCTGAAAAAAATGGTCAAAAGGCATAGCAATTCATGGAATATAATAACCTTGTCTCCTGTGGATAGTTTCGAGCAAGTAACATCAAAATTTCTGAAAGTGCTTCAGCTGTTGACTTCATCAGTTCAGTTTGCAAACGGCTAAATACAACACTAATAAGATTTTCTCCACCTTCTTGAAGCACTTCTGCGAATGTACCATTATTGATTACATTCCTGATCATTGTAGCAAGGAGAACTGAACTCTTCCGACATAAATTCGTATCCTTACTACTGGCCAATATCTAAAAATAATTTCACTCTATCCTCCTCACAGTATACAAATTGACGGCCATATTTACTGGATTTTTGAAGTTTTTGAATTGTGAATCACTAACAGTTCAGCAGTTTTGTTCATAAACTATAATTAACTATAATTAAAATGGCAATCCTTACTCCTCTTGCTGATATCTCATTGAAAAAGCCAAAATGAAGAGAGCTGACCTTCACTACTATGTCAAGCACTGCTCGAAGAAAAGTATATCCATATGCCGGTGAGCTGCATACAAATTTCCAATCTTTCTTCACAATGTGATAAGCTAATTCTATATGTTCTTCACTAAATTCTTCCATCGATTCGTTAATATTTTCGAACCAAGATGCCATTCGTGCTACGAGTTGCACAACCAAATTATTACTCGAATAAATTAGAACCATTGATTTTGCTAACTTGCATGCAGCAACTGGATGCCTTAACATAATAAAATCAAGTACAATGCAGTAAGAATCCAATAATGCTTCAGCATCATCCTGAACAGCTATCAGACCTGAACGTAGAACATCACAAATTTTTTCCACCAAAATTTCAGAAGAAGAAAAGTTCCGAAGCAAATTCAATAGCAAAGGCATAGATTGCCACAGTACAATATGAGCTGCTTTTTTTGGAAAATTTTTCTCTTTCGGTTGACTTTCACTGACAGAAGTAATAGAATGCATCTTTTGAGTACTTATCAGAGCGGAAAGCACATCAAGTTCGAAAATACATTCCTCCTCGAGACTTTTCGTTGATTGAGAATTTGCTGGCATACATCCTTCAACAATTAATTGCAAAATTTTTAGTCGCGGTGTAAGAATTGAATCCAAACTATTTAACACATAATCCGATTCATGTGTAGATAAAGATAAACCTAAACATCTAAGCGCGCAAATTCTCAACTGCCGTGGTTTTTGATTGTTATTGAAATATTCGTAACATTTCTGTATCACTCGATCCATTACATCCAAATATGATGTTCGCGATTCAACATATTTCTCTAGATTTCTGAGTGCCTCTTCTGTGGAACCAGTAATATCAATAAACGACAAAGCAAGTTCCATACAAATTGTTTCCTGCTTATCAGCATCAGCTCCTGTACAGATTAAATGTGACAACGAATAGAAGAGATTCATCAAAGATTTTCCAAGCTGACTTGCTCCATAAATATCATCCGTAAGATGCCAAGATAGGAGCGACATAGATTGTCCCAAAATCTGAGTAATTGTAATTGCGTCATTTTCCGTCATGTAATCTGCTATTCGCTCAAGAAGATAGAAAACTGCTTCTACCCTAAAGATATTGTAGTAAAATGAGTAGTACACAATTTATTTTTTGTTCATCTAAAGGATCACACATATTTTTTGCAAAATTTTCAGCTAAAAAAGATGTTGAGGACATATACTGAATTAAATGAAATGAAAAATTATGAAAGAGGAACTGAGGTTAATACATGTTGTAGAACTTTATCTAGTTGACAAGAGACTGTGGATGGGAGTAAACATAATATTACTGATCCTTTCATTCGAACCAGTCTCACTTCTTAATAATTCCGAACAGTATAACTCTTTCCATTACTGCTACAAACAAGTGCGAAAAAATATTTTAAGACTGAAACTTAGTACTCAGAAATACACAACTGTTCACCAAATGATGAGTTGATAAAATAAATGTAAAGGTAATGAATAGTTCGACATATAATAAGTTTTATAGATGAAAAATACGAAAACCAGTAGTAAATTACATTTAATCAGGAAGCAAAGGAAAAAAAAAAAACTTACTTGCAAATATCAGTTTCACTGATCGCTTCTCCCAATAACTTTACTAACATTAGTGTAGAATCCGATGGCGTAATCTCAAATGTATTTAAGGAAACTTCAACGCGTTGAGAACGGTACCTAAATTGAGGGGACTTAATTCAGTCTTTCACTGACGACAGAACAAAGTAAATAAATAACCCCTATTTAAAAGGTTTCTACACTTCCTACACTTCAGAAGTTTATAGAGCCAAGTTTTAATTATATTTTAATACTTAAAATACTTCAGAAAATCGAAAAGTTCTTTCTGTACCAAGAGCTCATCAAGGTATTTGATAAAAAAGTTAATGCTAAGAAACGAAATTCTCGACAGTCATTTCATTAAATTTGACATGGGATCACACGCATTTTCTGCTGTACTCTGGTTTTCTATCTTAATTGATAAAGTGTAATTAAAACCTTTCGAATTTTTCAACTTGTTCTTTATTAAACAGTTGAAACACATTCTTAGGTGGATAAGCAAGTTTTGTAATCGCAGACCATTGCAATCGTATATAAAATGTACTGCATTCGGCAATCAACTGGAAGAAAATGTTTCCTTAAGGGATAATTTTGAATCGCATTGATTTAAAGTTAGACTTATCAAGTCAAATAATTTTAAAAAACACAGAATATGCGAATATGGTTTCAATGAAAACTGTAGCGATTTAGAATCTACTAAGTTTAAAATTCATGGAGCACTGCAGTATGAAATAAAATGAACTGATTGCAATTCTATTTTGGAGTTCTACTTACTTCATTTCGTACGGCTTCACTAACACGTGATCCAGGTAAAGAAAGCAAATCCTCTTTTAGAGTATTCCAAAAAGCTTCCGAAGCATCTGATATGACTTCGTCATATGGGTAAACACCAGGCCAGAGAGAAATTTTCTCAAAAAATGAGCAGAGAAGTCTGCAACAAAAGGCAAGTAAATTTTCCCAACTAGAAAGTTAAATTAGTCCAACCTAAACATGAAAATTTAAGAGCTCAAAGGGAGTCGATTCATTTTACAAAATGATAAATAAGTCCATAAATGAATTAAATTTTAAGGATTACCTCAATACTTCGCCATTTTGCTTCTCTACACAACCGATTAGTAACGGTCGCATCGTAGTCTCAAAAAATTCAGCTAATGCCGATACTAGAAATCCATATTCTTCAAGTTCCGAGATAAAATCCTCCCGGTTTACATCGTTTTCTTCCTTATATCGTTTGCTTAAAATATCAAGTTGGTCTACAACTGCCTGAAATTCATGTTTGATGAAAATCAGAAAAGTACGAATGTTTACATGGATAGGAAAGAGAGGAAGAAGCTAAGTTGAGGAGCTAATTAGAATATAAAAATAACGGTTGAACCAGATTGTATTCACTGGATAGCGCAACTAAACACTGATGCAAAAATTGTTGCAGTCTATTGCGGCTAATAATATTCGCCCAGAAAGACCTACTTCCATATCTGAACTGTCACCTTTTTATGCCAGTAAATTCAAGAAACACTTCTATCCAATAAGAAGGAATGAAAAAAGACTGAGAAAATGAACCGGGCACGTGATACTCGCCAAAAACGTCGCTAGGTCCATTGCTAGGCTTTCCATATATGGCAGGTCAGAATGCGCCGAAACAACAATCAAGATACGAGCTAGCGCAATCCTAAACTATATATTTTAATAGAATTAAAAAATGAAACCACTAAGATTTTGGTCGTCTAGGATTTCCGAAGTAATGCAATTATACCAGTTCCGTCTAGTAGTGCAACATCATTCATAGTAGAATGAACTTCCCTTTAACCTCGAAATAATGAAATGCGAATAAAAATCTTACACATTTCTACTTCTCCTGTTAAAGGTAAATTTAGCGAATACCTGTCACTTATGTTGCCTAAAAAAGGCAAGAGCGCAGGTTGCCACTGCACTAGTTCAACACCAGGTAATCGAAGCCATTGTTCAAGGCACTCAACAGCAGCATTCCTCAAAGATGGCGATGAGTCCTTATCACATAAAATCATGTTGATAATTTTTATAACACCCTGAAAATGAAATCACAGTTACATATAAAAACAGGCAATGACTAACCCTGTGCAGAAATCTAAAATGTTGACTGCTACAGTTACTTCTGGAATTGTCAATCTCATCCTATGAAACTACCACTGAAAGATAAGATTTCTGCCCTTAACCATTACCATTTGTCACCATTTGCCACCACTTGCGTTCAGCATGCCTTTCAGAATGAAACAAGTAATAACAGCAGATATTTGCTATGCTTACTGCTTTACACAGTAAACATAGTAAATTGAGTTGAAAACAATATACCTCAGCCTTCTGATGCAAGCATGACTTCAAAACGGATCGCTGCGATAATGGTAATTGTATGCGATAAAATTCCGCCGCTAATTCAGCCAAAACCCTAGAAAAATTAACAGTGACTAAAAAGAAAGACGGAATTCAATTGATTTGTTTCATGAGAAAGTTCGAAAAATGGACCAAGATTTCAGCAATACAATTTAATCGTTAAAAATAAAAATTGCCTTAACAATAATTCTGGTTTATCAATCCAAGTCGTGGCCAAATCCTGAATTGGTTCCGACCAAATATCGGGCATACAACACAAAATGAAAATAGCTAGTGAAGAAGTGAGCTTATTAGTTACAGACTGATTTAAGAATGGAGCACCAAGAGCCAATTTTTCCAAAAGTGTTTCTTTGATTTTCACAATCTACAAAAATCAGTATATTTTGTTTGCAAAGATTTGAAAAAAAATTCAATTTCTTAGGTTTCTGCAGACCTTAAAAGTAATTACAACTCAACCATCCAGCACAATTTTGCATAGAATAATGTAGTGAAAATACAAGTAAAACAAAAATGAAAGCGTTACAGACCAAAGTTTCATTTGATAAGCATTCCTCCCAACGTTCACGTATTGTGTCGTAAAAAATGCATGCTCCAAAATGTTGCACAACAGTTGGTTGTTCGAAGTCCAGCAAATGAAATGATATCATGAATCCATTTTCGGCTATAAACATGCCATTATATTATTTAAATCATAACTTTTTTGACTACCTTGTTTGCCTTTATGGGAATTAGCTTCATTAATTGCAGGCAATGAAGCATCGTAAACTATATGATTACTTTTAAAAGAATTAAAAGCAAAACGCGTTAGACATGCATTTGCTTTTTTTAGTAGCATTATTCTCCTTTTTTTCTTTTTTAAAGGAAACCCTCCTGTGGTAAATGGTTTTCAAGACAACATAAAGACACCTTAATTAACAACTACCAAAAAAAAAAATTTTATTGGTTGTTACTCATTCTTACAATAGAAATTTTGTTCCCCTGATATAGGAAAAATATTAATCTAGTAAATTTTATCTACGTAGCTTCTCTCAATGTTACGATATAACCTACATTTCTTTAATACAGTCAACGCATCATCCAATTCTCGACATCGCTTTTGATCAGTCGTTGTATGCAATTCATTCAGTGCCGCAATGACTTGTGATAGCATAGCATTATCCTTGTCATCCATTTCGGATTGTTAACTTCTTAGCAGAATAAGTTACCTAAAGGAGAATGAACCGTCCAGACTACTAACATACTAAAAAAACATTGATCTAGTAATTGTTCAGACTACTAACATATCAAAAGTCCATAAAAAATGTGTAATACGAAAGAAACTTCTTTTTGATTTTTAAAAATGTAATACGAAACTTCTTTTTGATTAATAAATACTTTTTTTTTTTTTAAATGATTTTTCAATATATAATAAATTTGTAATCTTTAATTATCCAAATTGTTTACTCTACTTGTCAATATAAAGTAGAAAGTATTAGAATGCTACTTCTTTATCTGCTTGATTTATATAAGCTGAAATTAATCAAAACGTCCACCATTTAACATTCAATGGCAACAAAAACACTACATATATAATACTTGATACTGTTCTCGCAGATATGTTACGATTCCTTGTGTGTTAAGCCATTAAACAAATATTTGCATGTGGGGGAAATATAAAACGAGAAGAGCATAACAATATTAACAATACAACAAATAATACGATTTCTGCTGAATTACTATCGAATTTTTCTCTTGCGATTTGTAATTTATGAAATGCAAGGATGACTAACTACTGGAAAGTATGAATCAAAAGTGAATCTAACTTTTTTTTTTTTTTTTTTTTTTTTGGAAGGACCAGACGAAAATAGGCAGCGAAAAAGGGACTGGATAAGTTTAATGTGTGTTTTTTAATGTGCTTGGGGAGAGAATGCATTTTCGGTGATAAATTAATACATCCCTTCCTGTAATCATCTACAAAGTAAGACGAAAAAGCAACCCTATATTTTCAAAACTTACTGCATGCACTCGGAATGCGTGCAGAGAACGCACGCGAGCAATTGCACGCACCCATCAACTACCACACTATAGCACCAGCTTAGAAAGAAATACACTAATACACTTTCCAAAATCTTATCAACTTCTTTCGGATCTCGTTGGCTTGCAGATGAAAATTTGTTCGCTTGTAAGTACTCAGTTATCTGAGCAATAAACATTTTATGGAAGTTTGAATCACATAATGAGGGATAATACGATTTTCATTAAACCTCGGGTAAGTTGAGCAAAATTTGAGAAAAATGAATTTGAAACCTAAAAATCGCTAAGTCTGTTTTTTCCTTCATTCATGATAGAATTGTTTCCATAGCTGTTGCATTTGTCCACTAATTACACTTTCACGTAACTATTACCCTTAGGTTAAATTTTAGTTAAGTCTGCTACGTTTGACTTGTCCAGTACATATCCCAGCAAAACCAGAAATTCATCAAAGGCTTGAAAATGTTTCGGCTCTCAGATTCAAACTTGCAGTTGCGTTCATGAAGATGGATATTTTTCATTACCATATAACTTTATGGCAGTTATTTTTCCAGACATATATATATAAATAATATTTTTAATCGTCTCTTTGGAGATATATTTTATACAAAAATAATTTGTTCGAACTAGTTGCAGATTAACATTGCTCATATAAGAAAGATGAGAGTTAGAATGATGTAATAATGTAGTAATGATGTAATAATGTAGTTAGAATGATGTAGTAATAATGATGTAATTTTGTTATAATTTGATGTAATAACTTCCACCATTTGTTAACAACCTACAATATATTCGATTTACTAATTTTCACAACGATGCGCTATTACTGATCGAAATGATCAAAATACCAAAGCAGTTCTATGAGAAAAGTATTCCCACAGTAGAATTCAATCCATTAATCATTGTTTCTTTCATTTCTCGAAATGTTTACAATCCATTTCACTCGTAAATGCAAATGATCCATGCAGGGGTCGTAATATTATTGGATCAGTGATAGAGCCAAATTTTGATTTGGTATTTTATTCATCGATTTATCATACTTTTATTTTTGTCACGTGACATATTTAATTTTTTTTTTTTTTTTGCGGCAAATGTATTTTTCAAATGTAAGGGCAAGAAAAATTTGTATTTAAAAAGTAGCGCTGTATTTTAGTGAGAAAATAACTGATCCATTTAAATCATTCTATCCAAATCTGGTTTGTTGAATCTTTAGTTTTCATTTATTTTATGTTAATATTTATAGTTTCTGTTTTCTTAAATAGGATTGCAAGCCCAACATATCAACATACTGCAAGTTTTTCCTTTCATATTTCTGATTCCATTCTCTTTTCTCTTTGTTACAATTGTTTGTCCTATGCTAATCTAACTAGTTGTTAATAATTTTTTCATTTCTTATGAAGGAAATTATAAAATATAAATTTTATAGATTGTTAGTTTAAAGTACTGGATAATAAACTATGGCCCATAGTGCAAAGGATGATCACACTCGATATCGTCAAGACGTTAAAATTGCGAAAAGTTACAATACTAATGATCCAGTTATTCAATATTGCACAAACGTATGTCCGTCCGTAATTTTTAATTAATTTCTTCTATTCACCTTAAGTTAACTCGAGCAATAGTTTTACAGAATCGTAAATTTCAGTAATTACTCTGTAGAAAATCAAAATCAACTTATAACCTATTGGAATTTCAGCAAAAATTACCAAGCCCTAAATGATATTTTATCTTATTCGAAAATGAGGCGAAATACTGATTCTTTCATCATAACTAATCCATTTGAAAGCATTATTTTCTTAGATATCGGTGAAGCAAGATTTGATAGAGGAAGAACTTCGCGAAAAGACTATACGAAGTCATAAAGACTATATTATGGTTGGAGCACCTGAAGTGCTTCAAATGGGAAAAAATATGATCAAACTAATTAAGGCTAAACGTGTTTTGGACATTGGTTTGTTGTTTGATTGTAATTTTTCACTGCAAAAAATGCATAGATTTAAGCTAGCTCGTTTAAACAATGCTTCGTTGCAGTAACTACTTTGCATAAAATCATAACTTTTGTTTTGAGTTATTTTAAAGTACAGTAAGTGAAAATGCTTTTGTTAATGCCTTGTGCAGTTAATTTTTATGGTAGTTTTTTATTTGAAGTAGCTGACTGATTGTATAATGGAAATAAGTGAACTTGCAGGTACCTTTACTGGATCTTCTGCATTAGCATGGGCTCTTGCTTTGCCATCAGATGGTCAAATAATATCAATGGATATTTCACATGAAAGTCTGGATATTATAGGGAAAGAAATTTTCGAAAAAATTCCGGACATTGCCAGAAAAATCGATTTTAGATTGGGATCTGCTTTGGAAACATTGGGTAAATGTGCAAAAGATTAGCTAAATACTGATTAATGAATTAAGGGACGACAGGAAGCTAACAAATCTGCGACAAATAATTTTTTAAACCAATAAAATCGCAATAATTTGCAAATATACTTATTAAATAACTAAGGGTAAGCTTTCTTAGATGTTTTGATAGCCAGTGGTCAATCGGGGAAATGGGATTTCGCATTTATTGATGCCGATAAGGAAAATTATCCAAATTATTATGAACGATGCGTTCAGCTATTGAGGACAGGCGGAGTTATACTTATTGACAATGTAAGTTGAATGAAATTTTAGAAGAGGTTTCTTTCGACCGGAAGCCGTCCAGACTGACTGCACATATGCAGAATTTTGCATGCAGAATTATTCTCAGCAACTTTTGCTTTTTTTTTTTTTTTAAATGGCTTTACAACTAACTCATCTAAAATAAATCTAGTCCGTTGATTGGGCTAACAGCTGTTGGAATTTATTTGCAAAATTGTGGTTTTGTAGTTCTATAGAAGTTGAGGTTTCCACTGCGAATTGACTTTATACCTTTTCTAGAAATATTTGATATCAATCTGATGTTATGAATGAAATCCAAATTATTTTATTTGTTGAAAATTTTGTTAGGCTTTATGGAGTGGTGCAGTCACCCAAGAAGATAAGGATTACGCCACTCAATGCATCGATAAGACTAACCAGCTCGCCTCTAAGGACAGTCGCGTTGATAATCTTCTACTCACTCTTGGTGACGGCACACACTTGATTTTCAAACTTTAAAAATAAAACTTCATCCAATAATAATTTAGTCCACGTCTTCATGTTCAAGTTAAGCATTTTTTTCATTTAGGAAAGCTCCTACAGCTTTTGATGATGGAACTTAAGGAAAGTGATTCTCCTTTATTCTTTTTTTTTTTTTTTTTTACAAATGTCACGCTCAAATGAGTTCCTTGTTTAAAATTTCGTTAAATGCTGTCTGGAAATTTTGTGATATTTCGAAATAATAAATGAAAATGAACTGGTCACTTAATGTGAGATAGAGAACGGTCGAAGTAATAACTTTACTTCAGAAACAACGAACAGTAGAAGTAACTGAAATGCGTTCCATTCCAATCACATTATCTAAATTACTATCAGAAAAAAAAAAAAAAAAACCTACACTGACCCTGATACAAAAGGCAAACTTCAGAATTTGTGAGTATAGATCATTTAAAAATAATTGAATCAAGGAAAAATGACGGAATCAATATCTAGCACACGTCTATTTACATTCAAAAAAGAACACCAAATATAGTAACGAAAACGAAAATTAGTGAACACCGATGCATTCTAAATTTGGTGGTCCAGCCCAGGTTTGCAAAAAAGCATTTCTCGCAGATGTAAATGCTTCTCTTATAAGTTGTAGATTTTCAATACTTGTCACACAGCGCGCCGTGTTTCTCTGATCATACGGTTCTTCGATAAATATCTTAAAGCGCATAGTATTGTCTGCTAACAGATCCCTGAAAGAACGGCATTTCCCAAAATTTCAGAACAGCCTACTTCAGTAGCATTTCGGAATAAGTGCTGCAATCAGTATCTAGGCAATGCATTGATACTTGGCACTGTAAGAAGATGCATATATGATTAAGTCAAACTGAACTACTGTCGTATAGGAAAGAGTTTACATAATCCCATTAAATTACCTGCTATAAACGCATCCATTACGAATCGATATTGCTTTATTTTTGAAATCAAAATGAGCGAAATAATCAAAAAATGCTATCAACAATTCACCAACAGTTTCGGTGTTGAATTCACGAGCTAAAATTTTTTAAAAATGTGAAATTGTTAAAGACGTACAACCAAACTGCTAATTGAACGAATTGACATTGAGAGATAATTCAAAATTAAAACATACGTGGCAATGGATGTGGCAGATCTCGAAACAGTTCTAAACTGTCTAGACTGCAAGTTGCATTGAACAAAGAAGGATAAAGGAATTGAAGGTTCGGCAAAACCGGTGGTAATGCTCCGCATTGCAAGAAATGTAGGACCATCAAAATAAGTGAGTAACTTCAAAAAAATATTTTTAAAAGCTAACTAAAAACAAATTTATGACTCTGGAAATGGGACTTAATGAAACTTAGGGAGAGACTGAACCGAAAAGGAGCACAGTAGATGCTTTTAAACACCAAATCGATACTATTCGATGAAGTAATGTGATAAATTTCAGGTACGTAGTTTGAATGCAAAATTAAGAATAACCTATTCAATGTTCCCATCATTGCATTATTAATACCAGCATTGATAGCCCAGTGCTTTACGAGCAGACATAATGCTGGGAAACGATCGTCAACCCTAAATGTTTACAGTCTAAGTCACATACAAATTATTTCACCATTTAAAACAAAATGAAATTTATTATTTAATTTTTCAGTAGAGTTCATAAGTGGTTATGGAAATTTAACTTACATTTGACATTACGAATAGTAGAGAAATTTGTGGAAATACCTCGAATAATAGTGAAGAAGATGTGAATTATATATTCCAGCTACGTTATTACAATTAATATCTATTTCCAATTCTTCGTATGGTGCAGCCATCTCCAGTTTTATTATTGGGACCTGAAATGACTCACTAAAATTCATTCGAGTATTGGGATATACGAAAATCATTTCTCAAAATACTACTATAATCTGATTACATCTTTTAGCATGTTAGTTTGTAAAACTTACTTTAGCTGGTATATATTGACAAGTTTTAAACATTTGACGCCAATCCGTAACAAACTTCTTATGCAATTTCCTCAGAACATGTATACTATAACTGAAAATCCCATAGTTCATAACTTATAACTTCGAATATACGTACCAACTCAGATTTGACGCCTGGATGCTAAAGTTATTCATTTGAAAATCTAATTTTAATATTTAAACATAGGTGCTCAAAATGCAAGACAACTGACCTTCTATTGGCTTCAAAACTATGATTTTTGTATGGCTGGCAAATACATAAATCCATATCTGAGTTATATGAACCGCAACCATTTACCGTCGAACCAACGGCAATCAAGTTAGAATCCTTGTAAACCTAAATCCTAATACCAGTAAAAGTTTCCAAGATCTGTAAGTCAAAAGTTCTAGTCGTCTAATAAAAATAACCTGACGAACAAGTGCTAAAAGCTTTTGCCGAACTGTCATTTTCCATGAAAATGTCCTGTCATCCTGAAATTCGTCTCAAATCAATGGGAACTTTGGATTAGAATTACAAGTTGAAATTTAACACGAGAGAAAAAAAAAACTAAAAAATTGAAAGTAGAAATCCAAGAGTACCTGCACATTGATCTGAAAATGTCTCCAGATATGTTCATCAAATGACTTGAATTCTTTTGCAAATGTCGTCCTTTTTTCCTTAATAACACTACGTATGGCTAATGTTTCTTCGACGTAGCTGACGCCTAAATTGAGACATAAGAAATTAAATGCTCGGAAGAAACGATACTGTCGCAACACGTGCCTGAATCAAAATTATCCAATTTCCATAATTAAAGAAATTTTAAGACAATAAAAAAAAATATTTTAAATATACGAAAAACTAAAAACTATTTACCTAAAAGTGAGCACAAAGTTCCATATTTTGATCCTGAACTGCTAAAATGTGACGAAGGCACGCTTATAGTATGTATGTTTACAGGAGGCAGAATCTATAATAAAAAGCAAGTACAATTAACTTGTTAGTTTTAGGAAGATCTCTTATGTGTAAATAAGAATCTAGGACATCCAGAAAAAGCTTTCATTTCATTTAAAAGTTGTCCACCAGAAATTCCAAAAATTGCAAAGCAAAGTCGAGAATAATGATAAATGCACATGATATCTAATGCCGCATCAGAAAAATGGTTATAACGGAAAATGAAAAACAACTTATGCTTGTGTTAAAAAGCTTTGGTCATAAAAACGCCTTCATACCTCTTCGTCTTCTAGAATTACATCCGCATCATCAGCAATTTCACGATAAGCTAGATTCCCATGTATACTATTATTAACAGAACGATTTTCAAGTGTAATCATTGGTTTAACTTTTACTCGCTCCATAGCTACAAAAAAGAAAAAAAAAAAAAAAAATAAATGATGTGACATGATTTTCTCAGTTCGCTTATCTAAATTCTGAGTTATTTGATATCTTAACTGACGTTCCCCGATCATGCTCTACATCTCTATAAAATGAAGGACTGTATTTTCTACAGACTTAAAACAGTGGAATCGACTAATAACAAGCGCAATTTCCAGTATTTGAGAAGCTACAGATTTACAAGTCAAAAGGAAGGTTCAGCAATTTTGAAATAACCATAAAATTGTTAAACGATCTAAAATTTCATCAAACTTACACTATTTTTGATTAAATGTCTATCCAAACTATAGAAATAGCTTTTCCATTAAAGTAAATAAATTTCTCAATTAATATTGTATTAATATTACATAATTTAATTTAGAAAACCATACCAGCACAATCACCGTGACTGAAGTCTTTATTATTAGCTATTGCAGTTTTAGCAATCTTCGCCTGAAATAGCTTATTTCCAACAGCAATGCTAAAATTGTGCACGACAAAAAAATCCATGTGTTTTTATTTAAAAAAATGATCGAGTGTATGGTGATCTAAAGTACTCAGAATATTGCAGAGCGAAAATACAATGCTGAAAAAATATTTACATTATTAAAATTTCATTTATGCATTTACATCTTTCATAGAACCGACACCTTTTAACATCCTTTTTGTTTTGTAAAAACTCGCTGCATAACTAGGTATCAAAGTACTTGTTGATAGCATATTTAAAAGGTTTGAAAAAGTAGCTTTTTTTTCTCGCTCCACTTCTTCAGTCTTCTATTCAAAATAAGAATAATTCTATTAATAAGAACTTTCAAATAAAAAATCAAAAAACAGATAAGTTTTTTCTTTCATGGTATATCGCAGTAGTTGTAATAATCAAAAAAGATAATACAATTGAAATTCTCCGAAGAGCATAACCGCTTCATGAGAAAAAGGCAATCCATGCATTCCCCACCTGTAGAATTCAAAAAAACTTACTTTTGTATAAGAATCCCTGTTTTTCTTTGTTTCTATCAAATGTGTCTTTAATTCATCTCCACTTCGCTTTCTGTAAAACAACAATCTGTTGATGGAAAAATCTTTTTTTTTTTTTTTTTTGCTGAAATTTAGATATGCGAATAATATTGAATAGCAGCCCATTATAAAACGACACCCAACAATAGTTTTGAAATAAGCTCAAGGATATTGTTAACCAAAAGTGAGAAAATTTATAACTGATCATGTAATTTTTCTTTTCAGAATGGATGTAATTGGTAAAAAGTTCATCATAAATCAGCAAAGCACAAATTTGTATTGAAAAAAAAAAAAAAAAAAATAATAAAAAATAAAAAACAAGGCTGATAGAAAATTGACCTTTTTACAAGTTCGTTCAACTTCATTTCACGCTTTTGAGTTGTGAGTCGATTCGCATTAAGTACTTCATCTATCATTTTCACAAATTCCTCAGTACTGAATCCATTCTTCGTAAGTTGAATCCAATGTGGCATTTCTAAGGACAAAATAAGAAAAAATGAAACGAATTTCCTTATAAAAAAAAGTTAAAAAGAAACTGAATCGAACTTGATTCCATCTTCAAAACAATTTAAACCAAAGCATCAGTATAATTCCCGCATTCCTAAGGCATACGGGATCAAAAACCTAGTAGCATATTTTCTGATATAATTTTAACTTTGAAGGGAGATTATCAGATT